TAATTCAAATCTCGACCTGAAAATGCGTTATAGTAACATAAACACCTCCACACTGGGAGCTTTGTAATAACCCTGAGAGCAAGTAAATTTCTCTGTTCATCAAAGTTGAGTCTGACAGGAAAAATAATATATGGAAATTAGTCAATTTGAAAACCTAATTCATTTCTGAGCATGTGCAGTATCCAAAACACAACACAGGAATATAAATTTTTCTCCCAGGTATAGGATTCGACATAGAAACAAATGAAATGGATCTAACAAACTGCATCCATTGTGAATTTTCCACCAGAATTATTTTCTACTGAAAAATACATTGTTGCAAAATAAAACATTTCTGAGAAAATGGTTTCAGCTTGCTGTTAGGAAAATTAGCTCAGCAGCTGTCTGTCCACGTTCTTGGAAAGTCCTTATTGGTTTCAGTTCTGCCACTTTTCCTAGGCAAGAGACTCCCTGTGTTACCACACCAGAGACAGGCTACGCAGTGTGTAAAAGGGTATCCAAGAAGGTCCAACCTTTGTCAGCCTTCCAAGTGGGCAGCTGACATGTTAAGACACTTTAATTGCAATTCTCCTGCAACAGAGCTTTGGAAACAGGAGTGGGTTTTTTTCCTGTGAAAAATACCAAGGTTTTACTTCTCATCCTCATCCAAACCAGTCTGTTTTCTGAAGTACTGATGCTTTTCTGGGAAGTTCCATTTTCCAGAATACAGATTCCAATTCCAGACCATGAAATCTCTCCAAATGGGTCTTCTATTTCCAGCCTGTGCCTTTACCACACTTCACATATTTGGATTCATGCCAATTTTCTCTTTAAGACATATTTTTCATACGGTGGGGACTGGTCTGGAAAAAAGAATTTTCTCCAGTATGCAGAGACAAGCTTTACTCTCAGACGTTACTACAGGTTTACACAGGATGACAAAACCAAAATGTAATTGAGCAGAGCTACCGCCCATATATTTTTTGACTTGGTTGGATTTCAGCATGGTTTATTTTGTATATTTTAACCTTGTTGTCTAATTTACCAATGTTTATTTAAGGGAAAACTGGGATTTATAGGCTTCCTCAAGTCTATCTTTGCCTCAGAAGCACATTTCTGTTCTGAAATAAAATTGTGGTAGATGTACCATTACATAGGCAGTGGCAAGAGGAAGGTCTTCCAGAAAAAGCATTTTGGAATACTACACTTAGCTCCTGCTCTGAACTACCTTCTTGGAAGAACTACTTTCTTGCAACATCAAAGAAGCTATGGAAATTAGCTCTCTTCCAAGTCAGCCACCTAAGTCGAGTTTCCAAACTTCAGCAAAAGTACCGTAAAGCAGGCCAAAAAGGAGTCTGAGGAACAACTACAAAGAGGGATCAAAATTCACAACAAATCTTACTTCAAATACCTTAGGAGCAGGAAGTGTGCTGGGTCCACTAGTGATGAAATTATAAAGGAGCACTGAGAGAAGACAGGGACTTTGCAGAGAAGCTAAAAGAACTCTCTGCATGAGTGTCTGCAGAAACAAAAACTACAGAAGTTTCTACATGGAACTCCCTTCCGTCTCTAGCTCGATCCTGAGGCCAAACGGCTCCATAGGGGCTATAACAAAACGCTACAAGATTCTGAGTGCTTAAGTGCATTACACAGGGTTTGCTTTGTTCATTGTGTTTTCCAATAAAAGAAGACATCAAATAAATTTAGTAGGAGCCAACTTCAAAGCAAGTAAAAGGAGATGGTTCTTCACATAACCACAAACCTCCTTCCCAAACGATGTTGTAGGTGTTAAATGTGTACAAAGATTCAAGGAGAATTAGACAAGTTGATGAAGACAAAATACATTAGTTAGACTTTTAAACGCTCACACATTACACCCAGTTCAGGAAATTCCTTGAGGTGAAAATAACTGAAAGCCATCTTCCTGGCTCATTCTTCACCAGACTTCTTCATAAAGCCATGGATGGAGCGAGAATATTGGGTGAGACAAACACTTGGTTTGACCAAGTACAAATGTTTTTTACATTTTTAGTAGATACTGATAATTCCCTTCTGCTTCCATCCTACATGTTGTCTTTGTATTTTGGATCCATATAAAAATGGGCAGGATTGCTAATCTCCTTTATTGCCATCTCATTTTAGCTCTGAGAATTATTATTCCTATTTTAGCTAACACCATCATGACTTATATAAAGCATTCATGGTCCAATCCTGTAAGAGAAGGAGTTTTCACTTCTGTGAAACCAGCAGGAGAGAACACTGAGTATTTTAAAGGATCCTGAACATGTGACAGTGAATGGGATTTAAGCATCCATTAAGAGCCGCACAGAAATGCTTTGCCAAGTCTGGGCTCTAAAAGACTACTGAGCTATGCAAGGGCTTTTACACATGATTTTGTTGTCAACATATGCCTGCTCAATTTCATCCTGCTTTATTCTGATCTGTAGGGATATTTTTAAAGTTTAAGACCTGTTTCCAAACAATTGTACAGTAATCAAATTGTAAAGCATCAAATGAATCTTTCTCTTGGAAGAAAAACATCATGGCCTAATGGTTAGGTCAGGAAAGACATTACTAAAGAGAATGTTTCTTTCTACATAGAAAGCAAAGGCTGGTTTGCATGATACCATATGTGGTTTCCATAAAAATTATGTGTTGTCTTTTGTTTCAAGATAGGCCTGGGCCACACACTGGGGGTGAATCTCTCTGGATGTTTGACATTTCGGATCTAGGCTAGATGCTGACGTTTGAGACTGTCTTCATACAATTTTATTCTCTAGTTCTGTGTGCTCAAAGCCATATATTTACTGCTGATAGAGCACAACAAGCAAAACTTACAGATGGCAAAGGATTACCGGGAATCATTCAAAGATGATGCAGTGCTTTGAACATAACTTATGTTTAACTCTGTTTCAGAAAAAGCTGTTCTCACAAAAGGGTCTAGAATACACAATATGAAGGAGGAAAGTCAAACCCCAAACTAAGCTAAAAAAGGTGACTCTAGAACAGCATTAAAACAGGGTTTGGGCCAATTCATAGCCATTTCTGTTGCAGCTTTTAAAATACTGGATTTTCTACATAGCACGCTGCAAGCAGTTGACTTGGAAAGCACTACTGGAAAGTGAAAGTCTATTCTTCATAGAGCTCTTTATAGTACCGAAGGAATACACGAATGTCTGATCTTCAGAAGATTTATGTGCCTTATTCCTGGCCTGAAAAACAGAGGGGATTCTAGGAAATTTTCTGCAAACTACCTTTTTCCTAAAGCCAGTTTTAAATGTCAGGATTTTTTTTAGGGTACTGATTGTGCCACAGCACTTAAACAACAAAGCATGATGCTGGTTGTTATTAAAGTGGTACTTCTGAAAGGAAAAATGAAAGAATTCTCCCTCAGAACATGAGTTGAGCAATGACAATCCAACCAATAGATAACCATCTCCAGACAACAGGAGTAACAAAACCTAAAGATAATGAGGATTTTAAACAATTGCTTTACCACTTTTACCAGCTCCTTGAGTTCATGTTGAACCTTTGCTCCATTCCAGTATGAACTGCTACATCTCAATTATCTTTAAAGACTTTCTCAAAAATGCAGAAAAACTGCATTTAAAAAAGGCCAATGGCATCACTAATAACTCCCTCCTTAGCCCAAAGCATTTAGTCTATTGTGAATGTCCCACACTTAGGAAGCTCTGCCTCAAAACCTATTTTTTATTCATAATGAACTTGTCTGAGTCTTGAAGAAACCCAGATATGGTTTCTGTCTTGTCCTGGAATGTAAGAAGAAATGCATAATTGCACTGTCCTAATTAAAACTTGTTAAATCCAAAAACTTGTTAAAAACACCTCAGTTAAAAAATCTTTTTTGCCAACTCCTGTGCTGAAACCTCCAGTTTTAGGATGGTTTGAGGAGGCATTTTTGTTTTTTACAAGTTGTTTATTACTGTTGTTATTGTTGTTATTATTATGTGCACAAGCATATTGCTGACTTGGATCAACTTACTTCACCATATAATAAAACAATTTTCTTCATTATCTCATTGATTATCAGGAGCCCATCTAATGGGCCTATCTTCAGTGAATCAGCTTGTTTCCATTCTTCACCTCCAATGAAAGCCCATTAACTGCTGACTGCAAGAAGCTCCTGTAAGAGCACACAGTACAGTAACACATGACAACACATGGTTTTATCCAGTCTTCACATTGTATGCTCCAAAGTTTGTTCAGTCACAAACATATCTTCTAAAATTATAACAACTGAGGTGATGGGATCACTAAGAAATTAGAATCATACAGAGCACAGAAAATCCTTCCTTCTTTTTCATGGCATGTGATACTCATTTATGCCAAGTCACATTCGTGTTAAACAGTAACTGCATGACAGACAACTACCGACTATATGTCTGTGAGGGTGATCTGCTGTCTAATCTCCCAAGTATTTAGGTGAGAGTCAACCTGCAATGTGCTAGGGGCATCAACATAATAAGGTTGGTTATATGTAGCCCTTCACCCACAAAGCTTCCAAAAAATTTCAAAAGGTGCATGTTATTACGTACTGCTACCCTAGGAATTTTACACATTGTCAAAGATTAAACACTTTCTCCCCCTAAACCTTTCTTCCCCTTCATCCAATAAGCTTCTCGAAGTAAACGGTCTCTGGCGTAGTAATCTCCAACAGGCCATGATTAACTGTTGACTTCAGAGTAACTAGCAGCACTGTGCTCAGCGGATTGGTCTGACATGTTTTTTAACATAAATCTTCTTTGCCTGTTTTTTCTTCACGTCTGGCAAACCAGCACTTCTACTGTTACTGGGCATGATGGCTGGAAAACACTTCCCTAAGATCTGCTTTTAGCCATGTAGCCTTCAGCCCAGTTTTACTGTCATCAAATCCAGCCTTCAGAGAGTCAAATCAATCCCGCTCCTCTTCCTTCACCACATATGTTGTCTTTGCTTAAACCCAGTGTTTGGCATTTTAATTATCTTATGTTTCTTTACTATACCTGGAAAGTAAGCCTTACCTGGCAATGAAAAGGGAGATAGACTGTCCTGTTCATTTTCCTCCGGTTGGTTCACCACAGGGATGTTCCCATTTCCAATATTCTTATGTCTCCCATTCTGCAGTGGTTTGTTTGAGCCCTTGGCAGACTGGATTAACCGCTGGCGCTGCACAGTGTCAAAGACAAAAACTGCCACAGTTTGGAAAATACTGACTTAGTTAAACCTGGGTTTTGCTGCCTTTCCAGCCCCAGTAACATAAGACGTGATGTTTCTCCACAAAGCAATCCTCTCAGTCAGCAACAAACAAATCCATCTGTGGCCTACCTGTCTTCATCAGGCCAGTGCCGACCATCTTCCTCAAAATTACTGGCAGGAGTCTTTCAAGTCATGATGGAGAAAGTTGTTGTAGCTGTTCTTCTGCACCGTGTTTTAATGAGCGTGAACCACTTCTCACTCAACAGTTCCCAATCAACCAGCAACAGCACCACTATCCAGTGGTAACACTCGCAACATTTCTGCACTATAGAGTTGGCTTATGAATGACCCATTAGCCAGGATCACTCCTACTCATGTCCAACTCTTTCTCATCCCCATTCCTTGAGGTAAATCTAATGGTCCTACTTAGAATTTCAAAAGCAAGACTAAACCCTGTTGCCCTTGGCTGAGTATATACTTTCAAGAAACTCACAATTGCCACTGCAGACATGTAAAAGACTGCTACAGTTCCAATACATAGTAGAACAATTAGAGGGAAAGGTTTTAAATGTCAGTATAAATACCCATTAATACATTAGAGAATGTGAGATGTAAGAATAATTTCCTATGTTTATAAAAAAAGAAATATTTTTAGCTTGTTAGATGAGATAATGCAGAGTTGATAAGTGTCCTCTTTTTCATGACAAATTGTTGCAACTTTCTAAAAAGTGCTCTGAAAAGCCATGAAAAATAAGCTGCACAACGTGCAAAAATCTGAAACTAGTACTAACACACTGGAATTAAAAATAGAGAAAACTCATATTCAAATACTTTGCAAAACTTTGGCAGTGAGAATACATACGAACATGATCCAAAACACTCTCATTTAGAGAACGTTTTTTGCAGGTGTTGAACGAGTAACTATCAGCTCTCCGTGCACGCATCCAGTAAGAATTTATTTCTGATCAATAACCTGCTTTCAAGTTGGCTTTTACAGAGTCAACTGCTGCTGTGTGCCCCTATGTGATCATCTGCTCTTGACTGTACACCACTAAGCTGACTTTCTAACAAACATTTCACCATTAAATTGGACTTTTGTTACAAATATACTACTGCTGCTTTCTTTCACTGAGGTACTCACAACGCTGGGTAGACACATGAACTGAGTTACAATGTTCAAATTCTAGGAACTTCTAAAGCTTGTCTCCCTAAACTACTGAAATTAATTTATTTGCTGGAGTAAAAACCTCTCATATTTGACACAATAGTGAGGAAAGCACAAAATCCTGCCTTCGTAGAAGCCAAGGTTGGGAGGCCAAATATTTCATCCCGTGTACTTCATACAAGCTCAGAATAGCATCACTTGGCCAGTCCTGTCACTTCAGCTGCAGTGTGTGAAACAAGCAATACATGGTGGTGACAACATATGAAGTAAGAACGAACTCAAACTGTCCAGGGCAAATTCCCCTCATGAAAATATTTTGGTACATTTTCATTTCGGGCTGAAGACTACACTGAAAACTAAAGAGGTAGGCAAATATCTGACGTGATTCTGATGTGCTGCTAATCTAAGAGCAGTTGTTAAGAGATTTTGTTTGCCCTGACCATTACACTCTCGTAGCCTGTAGCCCGACCACTTCTGTAATGATCAAAACCATTTCTGCTGCTGCTGCTAAAATCCAAATATGCACACTTACATACACACACACAGAGAAACAAACACCTTCTGACAGGGAGATAAGTGAGTCCCTCCTTGGTGACTGCCCTCCCACTAAGGCAGGCAGCATCATCAGCTGGGAATACATCTTCAGATGTGCTGTGACATAGTTGCTAGAGAAAGACATAGCTCTAGCCCACCCCTAGGAATATGGGAGAATCTAATTCCAGAATCACTACAAGCACAGCTCTTTAGCAAGCCCTCTGCCTCATAGTCATTTCTTGTTTCTTAATGAACCTACCTCATTAATGATGAGTCGGCTTGCCATGCGCATTCTGGTGCGTGGTCCAAATTTATTTGTAATCATAATCCGCAATCCAGCTTCAGGGAACCGGTATTTAGGGGGACTGGAGCAGATGATCTCATCCACCATCACAACACTGTTTTTGCCATACTGCTGCATCCCTTTCACTAATGATCACAATGGACAGAGTTAGTTGTGAAATTATCTTACCATGTTTCCCATCACCCAGCGTTGTTCTTTTCAGGCTCTAGTTAGGTAATATTAAACTGAATGCTTGAATTTATGAGTGACTTTCCTGTAATGTTTCTGCAGCCTGGTGAATCTGTCCATCAGTTCTGCACTTTCATTTAGATCACATACTGAAAATGGATTTCACTCTGCTAAGATAAAGTTTTTAGCCAGTCGTTGCTGTAGTACCAGTTTTCTTTGCTGAAGTCTCACTACAGTTTTATTAGCCTTCTCTAAAACCACTTGCACTGTGGCAGTGTAGACAGTGCACCTGAAATCTCTAAAGCTATTCCACTGGATCAAGGTGCTGCACATCCAGAAGTCCCTAATGTTGTGCTTGCTCCTTTCGGAAATCTTCACTTTACTTTCACAGAGATTCATCAATATCTCTAATATGACATGACTTGAAATGATGAAAAAAACTGTCAAGAACTAATGCGTGTTGTAAGTAAGCCTTTGTTAATATAAAGGAACTTGTACCAAGGTTAAGAGTTTTGTTCTATCATGTTAAGAACACAAACAAAGAGACAACATTATACTGGGAACCAACACAAGTACAGGTGAGGACTTTCAGAGCTCAGCAACAAACCAATATTCTTACAGACTACATGTTGCAAGCAGAGCAAGGCTCAGCAGACAGGAGACATACCTATGTGGTGTTAGAAAGCAGGGCAGGAAATACGTATATGACTGTAATAAATATTAATTATTACATGTAATAATATGCATGGAAAAAAACCCAACAAAATTCTTTACTGCTTGTTTTCTGCTTTGCTCAGTTTGGCTTCACCCTCCCACCCCCCTTTTGCATTAAGTTACTTACATTAAGAAGAGGAAGAGAATTTAGGAGGTAGCAGTGAAAGATAATTATTAGTGCATGGTTCCAGCCAGGAAGCAAAGGAAATCTAAGAAAACATTCAACTTAAAAAAAAGCAATTAAAATGAACCTATTCCAAACACACAGAGATCTATACTTTTTTTTGCATTGTTACAGTGTTGAAATATTTTTATTTTTCAGGAAGAAGACATGCATACATGCAAATCACATCACACAATAAAGGCTTTGCTATCTCAAGCATCTTCTAACATATTTGAAGAAATATATCCTTCCATAATCATTCAACAAGAAAAACGAAGCAAGCCTGTAAATCACCAGTAAGTAGCTATTATCTTTTACCCTTTAGCATTTGAGTGTCCTGCTTTATTTCACTAAAATGAGTTTTCAATGAGTAGACTGAGATCACCAGAAGTGTCATAAAGAGATCTTTGGTTTCACAAAGAAATATGCCCTACTCAAGGAATCCACTCTGTAGTCTTGTCTTGCAGCTTAATATCTCTGAAGGTGAATACAACTAGTAGTAATTTTGCATTTGGAAAATATAAAGGAGCAATACCCTCACCCTACCCTATCATCTAAAACAAATTAACCTCGCTGAGTACTGCAGCTGATGACTCAAATAAGGAGCACATTCATTTCCTGTGACTCTTACAGCTGGAGTGTAGCAGCTTTTCTGTGAAGGAATTTATTCAGACAAGCTACCCAAGAACCAATCCTCACAGAAGCTTAACATTTGCTTCAGTTGGACAAAGAAAAAGAAATGTTTGACAGCAATCCTGGTAAGACAAAAAGGCCAGATACCTTTAATGGTCCTGTAAGATTAACCACTCTCAAGTGAGTTTCTCTAGTGAAGTCTCCAAAGTGCTCCTTTATCTTAGTGTCATGAACAACATGGAAGCACTGCAGTTACTCTGAAACTGTTTCTTACAGCTCTAAGGAGACAATGACCAAACATACTCAGCTTTGATGAATTATCATGATAAAAAACTCAGCACTGACGTAGAATACATCACTATAAACATATAGATAACTGACTGCAGCTGGTTTGACTTACTACAGCACATTGCTCTTAATTTTCCACAGCGGCTCTTCAGTCTCACTCCCTATGCCCATAAACATACATACCTTAGTGCCATATGGTACAAACAAGCTCCACTTAAAAATCACAAAAGCAGTTTTCACAAATGTGACACAGAGAAAAGCCTTTTTTACTTCTCCTTTGTGACGTTCCTTAGCAAAGTATGTTCTGAAAACAGCTTTTCCTTTTAACAAACTACTTAAACTTACTGCTCACCATGAAGGGTCATCACCAACAACTCTGTCAAAATCAACAGAAAGCTTCTTGCTGACTTCGGTTGACTCCTAGCAGGCCCTCGGAAACCCACTTTTTTCAAGTTTCTGGTTTTAGGCAGGAATCAAACCATGCCACCTGGTGGAAATTTGGGTCAACATAATAAAAGCCAAGGGCAGTGAACCACATATATGTACTTTTAAAATAGGAACACTGTTTAAAAAGTAAAAATATTTCACCTTTATCTGTGTGTGTAGAACTCATCCTTGAAACTGAATTTATCTTGTGGTGAAAAGCTCTCCTTTTTCTCTCTGAAACCTGAGTAATGGAAACTTTTCTGTCGTACCACTGGACGCTCTTGAAAGTAATAAAACTTACATGCCTAAAAGAGAGCTGTGCAGCACGAAACTCCCTTTTAACCGCACCCTGAGCAACAGACTAACCATCCTTGGTAGGAAGAAAGTTGCTCACCCAAAGCAACTGTTCATTTTTGACTTTCCTCCTGAGGAAAAATCAGATTAAGGTTAGACCTACATCTTGGTGAAACCAAGGGAGGTTTTTCAGTAGATCCTGAACCTTGCTTACCACTGGCTGGAGGTGAAGCAGAGGCCAGCTCTAGTTCTCTCCCTGCTACTAGCAGTGCTCCTATTTCCGAAGGCTGCCACTGGGGAAGGCGCCGTTCAGTTTGTGAAGCCAGACAAATATCAACCAACAGCAAGCCACTGACAGGTCATGGCATATGTTGACTCAGCAGGAGGAAGATGCCATGTGATGGTTTTCTAGGACAGCTTGACACATAAAGCATCCATCTACAAAGCATCTAAGCTAACAATGTCGAAATCTGCTGTGGATGGTTGGTAGCAGAAACGCTGTTCTTGTGAGTCCAGGTTTTTACTAGCTTTCTTGTTCCTTTTCCTGAAAGTTCTACATATTCTTCACAAGTATTAAATAATCTTCATGCTAGTATCTGTTGTTCCTTCACCCTTTTCGTGTGCCCCCCACTTGAATACATAAGTAATAACTTCCCTAAGAGGTACCCTCTGAAGTATGTATGTATGTACGTCCAGATCCAAGTGCCAGATTTCACTATATTATAGCACAAAAAATCATCGTAAAATGGGATCCAAGTATTTCAAAGACATCTTAATTATGCTAGTGTCCTGTGAGTGATTTTAAATCTCTAATAAACCATTGTCTGAACACCATATCAGAGACCAGAGTATCAGTGCGCTGTCTTTGCATAAACCTGTAGTAGGTGACAGTACCTATCCTCAGGATCCCAGTCTAAACAGCAAAAGCAGAAAGGAGTGGGTTTCTCTGGGTCTCCTCTAAATTCTTGTTTGCCAGTATATGTTATCACACAACGACCTTTCCAAATGCTACTTACATTGCTGCTGAGCTCAGTCTCCTAGAATGGGAGATATTTGCAAAGAACAGAGCAAGGAGACCTCACTCACTAAGAGTAGCCCAATAATTTCCTAAATTACATGGTTCATACTTTGAAGGTAGAAATTACTTTGCTCTACAGAGAAAAGAGGGAATGGAAGCGAAGAGGGATAAGACAATGATAAAAACCCCCAAATACCTTCAGTATCAGAAGCTGGGCATCATCTTCTTGCCCTTTATGACACAGACAGCACAGAACCTGCATTTCTCAATTTTACATATGTGTTTGCCAGTGTATGCAGAGATATTTAGGCATATGAAAGCCAGTCTTCTGAGGATCTGAACTCAACACATAATCCCTCTTGCCAACTGATCTGTCCTTGTCCTTTCCTTCAATACCCAAGCCTCAGCTTCTAGTTCCAAACTAATTTTTGAAGTGAAAATTACCTTCTTCCTGGCAAAAAAAAAATAATTATTTCCTTCACAGTGTTGTAGCTCATCACTGAGCAGGAGATAAAAAGGGAGCAAAATTGCCTATGTGCAAAGCAGCTTGTTTTCAGAATATCAAAAAGAAATTTTGATTGGGTTTTTTCATCTGGCAGTCTGACTGCGGAATTGACAAGTTAACCCAATAAAAATTCTTGCTTATGATTGAACAGTAATGTTGTTTTGATCCGCATTAAAGAAATAAAAAGGATATCCTGTGAGATACTCTTTTTCCAAGTCCTGTCTGCTCAGCCTTACCTTTCCATAGTAATGGAATGGATGGGTCATCACAACTAGAGGCATAACATTTATTACCATCTTCCAGTTCATTGCTGACTGTGTCACCATTTCCAACGTTCTTGCTTCTAAGGGTGAAAAATGTTTGCATCCTCACATTGTATCTGAAAGTGCAAAGGTTTGAAAAGGTTGGTTTGTTGCATTTCTTCATCAAAATTTAAGCGTCTGAGAACAACTTACGCAGGCAAGCAGTAAAGCCTATATGCGTGTTTTCTGACAACTAACAGGAAGTTAAGATAAAGGACTGTCCAATTCAGTGGCAAGCTTATAGGAAAGCAAGAGCTGCACCTATCTCTCATGAGATACAGCAAGCTGCAAAAAGACACTAGAGCAGATTCAGTGAAAACAAAACACTGCAGCTGCGGATTTTGGAGCCAGGACATTAACTATATGATGGCTTCTTTCCTCCTGCATCAGCTTGCAATTCACCTCACTGTTTCTCTCAATACTGTGCTCCTCACGGTAGGTGCTTGAGCATTTCTGGGACTGCTGACCATACCCTTCTAAAGAAAGAATGCATCTATTTTAGCACTATTCAGTGGTGGGATCTAAAAGCACTGCCAGTGAACTCTGCTAAGATCTGATGTAGGAGAAAAGGGAGGCTGAAGTTCCAGAAAGGGTGATATGTGAGCGGAGGGCACCAAGGGATAAGTCTATGCAACTTGCAGTAGAAGGGTGGACTCACGGACCATTGCAGTAACAGTCAGAGCTCTGCCTCTCCTGTCAGAGGCAGTGACACTACAGAAGAAAGATGTCAATATACAACCTGGTATGAGACAGTCTGAAGACAAATACATGCTTAGCAGTCTGTCTAATGTTCCTTGACCTTGCACTCCAGAGGTTACAAAATATGTTTAATAGCTGACATGCTGTGCGCTTACAATACAGAGTACCCAGTGGACATTTTCACATATCTTTGCACAAATGACATTTTATCTCAACTTTTTCTGAAAGATACTTTACCTCATGAAAAGGATGCATGAAAATACTTGTTGTCTGAGCACGAATCTAGAGTGAAACTGATTAAGCACGAAAAAGCCAGGGATCTTACACAGAAACATGGCTGGCTGTAGTGTCCTCAGCAGGCAGGCCAAGGACAAAACCACACCGAAAGAATGACGGTGAATTAACACCTAAAGGGCATACGGAGGAGAAAAGCACTTACTTCATGATAAGTATGTAGAATGAATACATAATGATGAGTACAAGGCTTTCCCACCTCAAAGAGACAAAAAGAAGTGTTAAAAGGCCATTCAAACAGCTGTAGGCTTTACAAGTTTTATGTAGGAGTGTGCATTAAACATCTAGTACAAGTCACGTTTGCATACACAAGCTTCACATCATTAAGATTAGATGGTGTCTCAGCAGAATGGGGGGGAAGCAGACTGTCAAGTTCCAGTAAACATGCAAATAAAATGTAATGCATATATTTCAGAAACGTGCTATGCAGACTGAAACCAGAGCTACCCTTTGAGGATCGTAATGCCAAGGCCTTTTATCATTTCAGTGCTGAAGCACAAGTCAGGTACTCTGAGGGGCCTCTTTCAAAAGATGATTACGACCTTCCACTAGGATCCCACTAGGACACTTAGCACCTCCATAAATGTTAACAGCAAGAATCAGAGCAGCAGAACTTTGGTCACTCTCTCTGCACATGTGAGTCTTCAGGCCTTACATATAGCCTATTTGCTTTGTTAATGTTTCCACATGTTTAAATCTTCTTTTAGTTTTCCCTGATAATCATAAAAAACATAACCAAACAAAATCCATAGGATTTTCTAGGCATCAAATCCAGTTCATACTCCCAGCATGTATGAATAAAAGCTAATTACACTGCAACTCTATTTACTGATCAGTCTCATGGGAAATACAGGACTGTAGGGAATAATTTACGCAACTTACCATTCTATTTTCTCATCATATATGAACTAGAAGGAGAGAAAAAAAGGAAACACATAAATTGACCATTTCTCTGATCTACTTTGAAAAATAGTAACATTTATTTAATAAATATCAATTATATCTAGTCAGAAGCTAGTTGAGTTTTGACCCTTTCTAACCTTCCCTGTTTAAAATAAAGGTGCAGCTCAACATTTTTCATCTCCACAACAAGCACTGGTCAGGAGAGAGTGCTAAGCGCACTGTGTAAGAGCAGCCTGTGAGCCTGCAGGACTTTACAGACTGTAGGTACAAAAGGAATGGACACTGACAAACATCATGGACACCTATTCTGTGGGGCTGTATAAAGTTTACATATTTGGACTATACTGTGGAGCTGAGCCCTCACTATTAGATGTCACTAAAACTAGCTGGGAAAATAACTGTTTACCAACGTATATCAATGGTTAGCAGGCTGGTCCTCCAAAAACTCAAGCAATGAAACACATTAACTGGTAAGAGAACTGCGAAACACATTAATTGATAAGAGAGCTACTTACAACAATAAGTATGACCACAGATATCGTGTAGTACACAGAGTCTCGGAACACAGCCCACTGCGTGAGACAAACCACCTGAAAAATATCACATCTTCAGCCAACAAAAATACGTGATTTTAAAGACAAAACAAAGGCCTCAATCTTGCCATCACTTAGGTGTGTGAGCGGGATTATTATTAACAATGATTCTGGAACCAATTACAATTTTATGCTAACAAGAAGACTCATGAGTTTCTTAAACAATAGATCTATAATAAACACCAGTAATAAAAATTGTATAGAAACCTCCATTACTGAAATATATTTCTTACTAATGGTATTTTAATTGTTCATAATTTCAATTATGAAGTACAATTTATTGTACTACTGCAAATCAACATCTCAACTTCATTATATTTGTGGATATATCAGTCTTAATACCTGAAAAAATATGATACACAGTCTAATGATCTATCACGTAGATGAAGCCAATACCATGCTTGTGTCCTAGATTCTTTGATCATCATCAGTACCAGGAAGGATTAGCAGATGCCACTGATGACTTGACTATGAAAACAGTATTGTGTGAAGAGGAACCAGTGCCTGTATGCTACATGTTCAGGGTACTGAAATTACAGCTGAACTTTTTCGAAACATTTTATATTATTTGTGAAGTATTTGTGAATTTTTTTAACATTTGCATTTTTCACAATGCCAGCTCATTTTTTATATTGACTAATAGTCTTTTTTTTAAAAAAAATATATATTTTCTCAACTGTAAGCAACAGAACTCCATAAAAATAAATATCTTACTAACCTGTCCTGCAAATATTCCACAGACACCAACAATGCAAAGAATGTTGAAAACTGCTGAAC